GACAACTGGATCTTCTCTTTAGATTTTCTCGACTTTTGGTAGCGCCAACTCTTTTGGCGCAAGCGGATCGTGATCCACCAGCGTCGGATTAATGTAAGGCTTAAGCGATCACACGTAAAAAAACTGGGTGTGTTCGCATCTTGTGTAAGAGGTTTTGCGTGTACGCTAGGCCCTTCTTGGCCCCGACCGTAGACGGACCAATGAAGCTTAGACGCAACTGGGTCTAATCGAACGCTGAAATCACATTGGTAGGTAGCTTCTTAGCGTTAAGTAAGACTAGGTCTCCAACATCAAAATTCTCAATACACTTTATGTCTTTGACGTCAGCTTCTTTCTTTTGTTGTGTCCTGTCTATCAGCCATTGCGTCACATAAACGTCTAAAGACATTCAATCGTGTAATGAGAAACTCGCTCACTTATTTCTGAACCGTGGTTGGTCCGACATCAGCAAGCTAATCCGCTATTCCCTCCCACTAAGCCCAGAACCACGTAGTGATAGCATCAAAAGGACGCGTGGGTGAGTGAGACCATTCACGTAGAATGAAGTAAAGCAATTGGAGGCATGAAAAACGTTGTACAACGAAAAATTGACCACCGGGGGCATAAAGCTCCATGCCTAGGCGTATCAGCACAAACAATTCGCAAAATGTCGCCAATGATACGTTTGACACACTCAGTTTGACCATTGGTCTGCGGATGGTCCGCTGTGGATATGTACAACCTCGGATTAGCACCTTGAAGATGGAAGTTCAAAACTTGCCAGTGAAACGTGGATCACGATCATACAAAATTGTCACAGGCAAGCCGTGTTGAAGAATCACACAACTAGAAAATGGCTTCTCTTTACCTTTATCATCGATGGAATCAGGCACCGCCGCTAAATGAGTCATCTTGCTCGAACGGTCAACAAATACCACAAAACCAGTGTTGCCTCTTAAAACCTTCGGTAGTCCGGACACAAATTCCATACTGATGGACTCCCAACACCCAGGGAATACAGGTAAACTAGCAAGCGGTGCAACCGCATGTTCTGATGCCTTGACCCGTCGACACGTTTCACATGTACGCACATATGTGATCACCTTTTTGTACAACTCGGGTCACCAATACATCTTGCTAACTAGGCTAAAGGTCTTTCACGACTGAGATGAACGCTCAAAGCAGTGTCATGTGCCACAAAGAGGATACTACACTTCAAGTCCGCATCATGAGGAACAATGATACGAATCACATCCTCAACACCCGTGCAATAGCACAACAATTCACTGTCGATGACATATCGATGTAGGCTCGCACGTAAACGTGTCGGCAATTTACAGTCTGAGTCTTGAAAGTCATCGCTCCTAAGAGCATGTAGCGATGATAGACATTTCTTGTCCTTGGCATATGCCGCATGAATTAAATCCACAATGGATGACGACAGAGTCGTAACATGAGCAAGCTCATAGTCAGGTATTGTGTGACAACGCAGTAGCCAGAGCGTTATGATCGCCCGACTTGTCCTTCAAATCGAAGTTGTATTCAGCAAAGAAATTCAACGGGCCATACGCTGTAAGAGGTCAGGCGACTGTACCGCAATGCGTAACGACGCATGATCTGTGAAGATCACAAAGAATTTGATCCGAGGAGATAGGATCTGAGCTTAACGAAAGCATGCTTTATTACACGTAGCTCCTGTCGTGAACTGGATAGCTCTTCTCTTCAGCCTTCAGATGACGATACTCATACGCGATGACGCGTTAATTTCCATAGACATCTGCCTGCAATTAGGCACAACCAATAGCAAAATCAGACGCGTCACAGACGACACTGAAAGGCCAGTCAGGGTCAGGCAAAGCCAAAATTGAAGCATGGAGGAGACTGTCCTTTATGGCTTTAAAAGCTTGAGCATGGACTGCTTCCCAACACCAAACTGCATCCTTCTTGAGGAGGCTAGTTAATGGCCTTGTCTGGTCAGCGTAGTTTGCACTGTACTTGTACAAGTAATCTGCAAGGACAAGTCATTTACGCAAGTTCTTTTGTGTTCGACGGAACCGGCCAGTCAATAGTTGACTATACCTCAGCGGAATTCGCGCGAAGGCCACGCTTCGCAATAAAGCACCCTGGACAGGGATTTTCTTTCGCACCAAAGATAAATTTCAATGCAGTTGCATACAGCTTGTCTGTGCGCATGCACTCGAGCACTGCTTGTAAATAATCAATGTGATTGTCCACATCTGATCTACTGAACGGTCTGCACGGCCATGGACAAAGATGTCATCGAAACAGCTTTGTGCTTATTTTCGATGAGGCCGATAATTGCGTCATAAGATGGTTAGATGTAGCTGGGGTGTTAGATAGCCCTTAAGGCATGATAAGCCACTCCCAAATCATATCGCTTGGATACTAACCGCTATGAGCGGAATATCTCTCGCTTGCATGAGCAATTGATAACATTAATAGACCGAATCGAATGCACTTATCATGGTACAACCTACCATAACGTTCTGAAGAACACACTTTCTAGGAATATGTGTCTATTCCGGTATAGTGGCTGCCTTAAGATTATTGTAAGCGTGCACAATGTGCCACTTGACATTTGGCTTTCTGACACAAAATGCCGGTGTCGAGTGCGGAGACTTACTATCAAGCACCATGCCAGCCGCGTGTTTCGCACGAAAGAACTCATTAATGACATCACACTGCTCCTTACGTAGAGGTCATTCATTGCCTTGTAGCACAAAATTTGGTTCCAGAAACCAAATCAATTTATGACGCACACCTCGATCATGAGGCAGAGTGGAAGGTGGATCATGAAACACCACGTTTTGGAACTATATAACCAAAGGGTTAAACGAATCTTCAATAAAATTCAAGATCGATGACCCACTTCGAGCACTCAATGCCGTCTTTGTGTCTTCCATGACAGCTTCGTTAAAAATTGACGACAAGTTCAATTCACTATCGGATCTAATGACCACCACTTCATTTAAGTCACCTTACTTCAAGTTCAGGCCAAACTCATCGACAGATATTTCGTCCAGCTCTAACAAAGCATTTCAGTGAGGGTAGAGTCTCAAAACTCACAGACCCATCTACGTCACCGGTCAATCCGTTAACGAGTGTATATAGCTTCTCGCTCGTATCACTCGGTGGATGTAACAGACGCCTTTCGTTGCATAACATCAAGCTGGAGTCGCTATTGTATTTGTGACGAGACTGAACGTCTCAAAAAGACTGGAACTTTCTCGTTCCCAAGTTTGAAATCATCACCATCCTTAACTTGCTCTGTACAAGATCAGGTGTCATTACCGACACCCTGGAAATCAATGTCTTCAAAACTAATCTGATCATCAACCTTAAGTTGCTAGTCAACAGATTCGATATTCTTACCGACATACGGGACTCTACCTCTCCCAAAGTGACGAAATGCGTCAACCTTTGTTTGCCCAATAAAAGGACCGATGTCATTGCCGACACAATGGAACTACAATGTCCTCAAGGTGACGAGCTACGTCAACCTTAACTTGATCTATATCAGATCTGATGTCATTAATGACTTCCAATGATGAGTCACTTCCAGTGATATCACCAATTAGTGGGTACTCACGTAACACTCCACGCTCATCAAATGAGCGTTGCCCTTGATGACTTGGCGTTTTACCAACAATGTCTTGACTGGCATTCAGTGTGTCGCAACCACGGCCAACACCACTCAGTGGGTAATTACGTGCCACTCCACGCTCACCAGATGGGTTCAAGCATGGTGACTTGGATCTAGGCCAACAACGCATTCAGCATTCAGTGATTCGTTATCACAACGATTATCACTCGACGGGGTACGTGGCGTCTCACCAACAGTCATTGAGCTTGCCTCATAATTAATTTTTTAAACTATACCAACTTAACGAGTTCAGCCATACCGATGTCCAGCACACTAACTGTCTCACTTCGTGGCTCGCTCCAATAGAGTTTTTGTTTCCTAGCAGAGGCGGGCTCATGACTCTCCAAATTTTCGCCAAGAACAGTGTGCGCTGCGCCTAAAGTCTTTGACCTCCAATAAATTCATGGCTCATGGCGTTCTAGCCAAGCCAAATCAAGGATGAGATCATTCCTCTCATCTAAGTCAAGGACTAGACAGAGTTCCAAAATGTCCAAATACGAAAACCTCACGCCTAAGTACAAAGGACTTTGGGCACAGTGGCTGATGCACCTGTCATCAGTCACTGTGCCCAAATTTGCGGTGAAACAAGACGCCAATCGAACTGTAAAAGTCTCATTCTTTCGCGCTTTCAGCGCCTCAGCATACTGCTGCCTCCTTTCCAGGGAACAACGTCGGACGTAATTTCCCGACTTCCCGGAGTCGATCATTATCGATCATGGCTTTTCAAAGCCCTTCACCGTTATTATTTTTACATCTATAATCTGGCTTGTGCTCATGCTTTGTGGGTAATGTCACGAAGCTACTTAAGGCTGGGCCCTGCTCTCCATCACCTCCCAGAGGTACAACAGAGCCTAAATATTCCCCAGCGGGGCGCCCCGCGCCTACTGGGACTCGACGTTTTCCTGCGCGTTATCTACTCATTGGGAAGTGACGGGAGGTCAGCTCGAATGGGCCTGTCTGGCCCTTCTCAAAGGACATTTGGGGCGGAGATGTTTGGTGCTCCCGCAGGTTAAAAATCTACGGATGTTCGAACGTTGTTCGAAAGCGTAAAGCTCAGCTTCTTTTCCTCTCTCAGCGAGACTAAGATCCACGAGTTCTGTCCTATCTATAATTTGAGCACTGCTCGACGGGTTTGATTGGAACCCATGAGTTCCGTAGCGGACAGTTTAAAGTTGAACTCTAAGTTCAACGTCAATTCCGCTGCTCCCTTGAATGTCAAAGGTTGTGTACGAAAAACACTTCTGTTCAGGCAACGCCATTACAAAGACCATCCATGAAAGTGGTTATCAGAACCGTCTCAGGTAAAGGATCAATTTGCATTATAGCAATGAGAGTTCGCATTCTTGAACATAATCGACTAAGTCCTTTTACCCTGGCGGGTTGACAGGAAGCGTGATAGCACGCGATATGCCCCATCAGGTAAGTCAAACAGGGGTAGCTGCTGTTTTAGCATGTCCCATGTGGAAAAAGCCTCTTCTAACGAGGTACCAGAAGTGAAGGCCCGCTCCTTGGCTCGCCCACGTATTTTTGATAGGGCCAGGCCCACCTTTTGCTGCTCTGACCACAGCAGGGCCGCGCTGATGGCAACCTCTGTCTCTCGAACCCACAAAAGGAGTTTTTCTCCCACTTTTACCTCGAAGGTCTTGACATTCAAGACCAGGAAACGAATCCTTGACTCAGTTTCCGGCATTCGAACATACCAAGTGGGCATGTCAGATGCCAAATGGTCATTGACCTGTCTGACCAACGTGGCTTGAAACTTCGAGAAGGCCTCGAGACGTGCACGAAGCATGTCCGGTCCTTGCGCCATTATAAGAGCCACTTGCTCGTGTTCAATTGACTCCTTGGGCTTCTCCAGTGTGATCTGCTGGGCCTCGGAGAGGTTCATGCCCGTTTCCATCCTCGCAGCGGATTCAGTCTGCGAAGCTCAGGTGTAGATTGGCTACAAGCGCTACCAAGTGTAGTGGATCTACTTAGCGTTCCTTAACATAGGAAGTACTAAGCTCAAACAGCCTCGTAGTTATACCAATTAACAACGACGTACAGTCGTTCAAGCGTACAATATTAATGAGCTTCCCATCATAAAGGTATTAAGATTCACAGAATCACACTCTGACTAGTCACTACTAGTTAAACAAGAGTAAGCGCCCTTACAAGGCTAACGCTCTTACAACACACTACGCCTTGACTAGGCACTTGTGCCCAACGATTGAAAAGGGGAATTGAACTTTATTTATTCTTTAACTACGGGAATAAATCCCCGAAACCTTGTCTGACTGACTTCTACATTGCGATCCTATGACAGAAGTCTTATCCTTACCCGATAAGGTGCGATATTACCGTAAGTACGTGGTACCAAGACTGTACTACTCAGATGCACCGATCTTTAATTGGTGTGGACACACTACATAACCGATTCAATAAACGCGTGTAACCCCGTTACATGTGTGATGTATTTAACGGCCTGATGACCTCAAAAGTTAGATGCTGAAGTAATGGGTAGAGGAATTACATGTCCAATAAAATAGCACGTGTGTTTGAAAATAGCTGGTTTGAGCTCGAAGATTAGCTGCTTCATAAGCCACAAGATCTCTATGTACAAAGTTTGACTTTTTTTATCAAAAAATTTCTTGCATTTACCATCATGGTGTTGTCTTTCCTGCTGTCACATTCCGAGATGCAGTCGGAATCAGATGTAGTAAATGTTGTTGATCTGTATTTCGAAGACTTTCTTACCATCTCCGTCTGCATTGGTGTTATCGACATATCATTGGCCAAAATAATTTCGAGCTACTTCATGTGCTAGTGACGAGTCCAATCGTCCTTAATTGATGAAATCACAAATGAGTAAACAGGATGCGTTGGATTGTAGCACATGTACGAAGGTAGTACACGTTCTTTGCACTTAAGCTGATCGCAGTTTAGCTTTTGAGAGGCGGTATGCAATTCTACTACCACGTGTAGAAATTTTATTGATGTGGATGGAGTGGGTGGTCACGGTACCCCTTTAACAAAGGGAACTATAATTGAGATGTTTAGCTGCTACGATCATTGTGGCAGCAAAGAAGCATACCAACTGTCTATTTCTAGACTGTAGAACCTGTAAGATAGTATTCTTCCGAAGTGTGCTAGGGAAGTATTTGTTAGTATACTCACTGCTCGTGCTTATATAGATCTACATCGGGACCACGATAAAGGCTTGTGTGATACCTTGATAGTCATTGTCATCGTCATCGACTCTTCTGCCCAATATTCATCGGCATTTTCCTGTGTCAGGGTGGGTTTGCTCATTCAATAACGCAATCTAAACCCTTTACTGGCGCCTAGAAGAACGACTATCGGAGGGGTGCTCCCTTCCGGTGTTTATTTCCTTCCTCACCTTGCATACACGTCGGTAGGGTGGCTTGCACTCTTTTTAGTGAACTGTGTCGATAAAAACTTGATCTTACTTTGGATGACAAGACATCACGTGGGAATCTTCACGCGATCGCAGTTTCATACATGAATAGACTTAAATTACCCGGATCCCTCTGAAGATTGCCTTGTTTACAATTCGATTGACCTTCTGATCGCTTGATCCATCTTACGAACTTGCACCCTGTCCTTTACTGTGTGGCTGCATCCGATATCAGCTGGAAAGTTGAGGGTCATTGATCCCCATCCTATAAATCTGTGAATGTCACTTAATCAAAGTGTGAAAAAAAAGTCGGGAGGGTAAATTATACAGCTCGAAAGAAAAGTTAACACGTGCCTTTATAGAACCAAATTGAACCCCGCTTAAAATTCACTTACCTAAATCCAACGCCGATGGCAACGCCTATCGACTTATCGAAACTAATGCTACGCGTAGTACCTTCTTTATTACTGTCCCCTTGCAAGAGTAGTCCACACCAGATATACAAACGTCTGCATTGCAAATTGGGAATCGAGAGACCGAGACTTCTCGGATCTGGATCGAGAACTTTGAGATCGGAGTGGCGAGAGATCGGGATCGCGAGTCTTGGGATCGGGATCGAGCACCTTTCTAGTTTTTTTAAACCAGTTACATACTGCACATTGCGTTTTGCAATCTCTGCTACACGATGCCAAATCTAGGGATGGGGGTTGCGATAGACTGGATCGCGAAAGGTTGGGATGCGACCACAAAGCGAATTGGGGGTTGTTATCGCGTTGAATCTGTAGTGCAGTGCACCGATCATACCTGGCTCACGTCGCATGTTGAAATGCAATCACCATGTGTACCTTTCCATATGTATACACCAGGTACACGTTTGATGCAAGAACTGTTGGGGGCGGACCGTAGGAATTTTTTTTAGGATGTTTCGCCTGAGACACTTGACAATTACAATCTTTCCTCGATCTATTTTGTCACCTCGCATCAATCCACTTATACAAGAGTTTTGTATTCCTCAGCTGTGGTAAAGTAGCATATAGAAATGCGCTGATACATGCTTTACGTAATAACACAACAATTGTCTTGTAAGTGTATGCAGTTGAATTTGTACGTCGGGAGAAATACCGTTTCGTCTCGCTCTTTCGGTTTTAGTTGTGGCTTTCGATCTCGCTAAGTACCCAACAATCACTTCTCGATTGCAGAAGCCTGCCTGACTTCAGAAACTTCCACTCCTCACATCCTGTGACCTCACACAAGCGGGTGAATTTCGGCTTATCACGCGTTTGCATGTAGAAGCAGTATACAATCGACTAGAAGACTAATGATATCGTTGACTTCGGGCTCTTTGCTCGTCTATCGACGAATCTTAAACATTTTCACCCATTGGGTCACTGGCTCGTCGCTCGATGAGATTCAAAACTGTGTCGTCTGTCGGGCAACGGCTCGCCGTGTGACAAGAATGATCTTTCGCTAAAACATTACCATCTCGGGCCAACTTATCGATATTCGCTTTCTGTAGAAGCCTCTGCAAACCATTCCTCTCGAGATCAGACGGCAAGCATGATTCAGCCCTTGCAGAGACCCATCTTATAAGTTTACTGGTGTCTTTAATTTAAAAATTCTGCTCTGCATTTAGCAGTCTCTTATCTACTGAGAGGGCGCAAATTGTGTAACCCCCTTTCGTTTTCCTCATAATCCTGTATATTCACATAGTGAAACAAATGCAAATATCTCTAGCGTGTTTACTGAGTCTTAAGTTAGACGAGCCTTAACCGGAAGAGCCTGAACTGTACGAGCCTAAATTCGACGATCTTCAATTCAACCAGTGTCGATCCAACAATTTTCCACTTTTCGATTTAGCTCGACGATCTTCAACTCGAATAGACTCAATCGAAGAATCCTATCACATTTAAGCTTTGAATCGTTGGTTATTGGCTCTTTAAGACTCGCTTTTTGTGCCTCTTAAGTCGGGTTTATTCCTCCTTGTCGTCAAGTTTCGATCATCATAGTGAGCCAGAAGTAGATAATACCACTTCCAAAATTTCCTGCACCACAGCTGAACCGGTCGTGATACGAACCTAACGGGTGAGTGTTTCGATCCATAAATTTAAATAATTAGGTAATCGTTTTCCCGTCTAACTGTCTTTTTTTCGTCACGAACATCATGGTACGTGCACAAATGCTGTCTTCGACGTAAACCAATTCAATTACATGATGACAATTTCCTCAATCATACCGATAGCACAGACTCCTATACCACGTAGGGCGAACGTTTTAAAGACGGGTCCTGCATTGCGGAGTCCCATAGCGCGGATTCTTATGGCGCAAAATCACACAGTTCCCGGTCTCGTAGTGCGGAGTTTCATAGCGCAGAGTCCCAAAGAGTGGAGCATCGTAGTGTGAGATTATATAGACTGGATCCCGTAGTGCAGCGTCCCATTGTGCAGGGTTCCAACGTGCAGAGTCCCATAGTGAACTATAAGAGCAAATCTCATTATCAGGACCACAAATGTCCAATAGTCACCAAACCAGGACTATAGTTTAAGCAAGTCTAAAATTATCTATTTTACACTTGGATTAAGTATGCAAACTAGCATAGTGTTAGCCACATTATACTCAACTGCAACATGGGATAAGAAACTTCCTGATCACTAATGAGTCTTTCCATTTTTAGACAACTGTCGCGAGTGGTCGAAAAACGCTCTATTTTTACCAACGGTTTGTTTACTTCTCAATTTGCGCCCACGAGCCGATGTGCCCATTTTGGGTTGGGCACATTGCGTGCGAGCCAGGGCCCGGTCGCACGCACCCGACGAGATCGTGACCGGGGGACTCCGTTATTATATCACCTCTCATGAGCAGCGGTAGCAGGTAATCATGATGTTGATGTCGACTGTGCTGTCTAACGATCGTATGCCTTGTATGTGTGTATGTGTTGCAGAGCGTTTCGAGTGATGTCGAGTGATTTCGAGTGGTATTAAGTCTTGACAATGGATGTCGAGTGGTGCCAAGTGATTTCGAGTGATGTCAAGTGGCGTCGAGTGGTTTCAAGTGGTGTCGAGTGATGTCCAGTAATGTCGAGTGGTTTCAAGTGATGTCAAGTGATGTCAAGTGGCTTCGAGTGATTTCGAGCGGCGTCGAGTGGTTCTAAGTGGTGTCGATGGGTGTCGAATGGTATTAAGTGGTGTTGAGTTATATCGAGAAGTGTCGAGTGTGCTGGTCATGTCGAGTGTGCAGTTTAACGATGGAAACATGCATGAATCGTGGTGTATCGAGCTAGCAGGATTTTGTTAGGTGTATCAAACGATAATGTAATGAGCAATTATCTTTTTGAACTCGTGGAACATTAGTCTTTTTCTATCAGATTGTTTTTGTAAGTCGCTACATAGTCAATTCTGCAAGTCAAACTTGAAACGTACGGCAACTGAAAATAAAAAGTTGATTTGTGATCCATATTCAAAGACATTGTCGAACTTGTATGTAAATGTGCATTCGATAGATAAGGT